GCCCCACGAATAATGGCACCAGCCATAGGGACGGCGTCCCACTCCACGTGGCCCTGCACAGACGCTCCGCCATACCCACGAGAAGTAGGAAGCCTCCGTCGGCGGGTAAGCGTGGCCCCCATCACTCCACCCCTTCCATAGAACGAGGATTAACGACACCGGAGCCGCAGCAACATGGCATACCAAACATCACAGACAAGAGGCGAAGAACCAACCGAAACAGGAGGGCACACGAAGCTACAGTGCAAAGACCAGTAGTACCCCAACAAAACCAAAAAAAAAAAAAAAGATTAACCCAGGCTAAAGAGAAAACCAACAAGCCGAGACCTACACATATGACTGCGCTTCGAATGACGGTAGCATACCGAATCCATCCAACTATAGAGGACGCGCTGTTTCTAGCCCTCTCCACCCTGTGGGGGTGCAACTCCTACCGCCATCACTCCCACTCCAAGAACTACGACCGGAACGGACCAGACCCAGAGACTCGCGACGAGAGTTTGAGAGGAGACGAGGCCCACCCGCTCGATGCGACTAAACTACACCACACTACCTGACACAAACACGAAACGCTATCAGAACAAAACTCACATCCGCAGGCGCTTGCGTGAGACCTCCCTCAAAGGGATGCCGAGGGACGACAGCGGTCATAAAAGGCCCACACGCCCCTCAAAAAAAACCACACTAAACAGAGGGGCCTCAAGAGAACACCATACACAAGCGCTACCAACCTGAATAAGAGCAGTAATCTGTAGGCCACAACAACAACCGGATAGCAGCGTAGCCCGGAAATCGTGCGAGCAACAACACACCTTCACTCCAGCCACCTGCTAGAAGGGAAACGAGCTAAAGACAACACGCTACACAAATTCGCCGAACCACAAGAGGGATCTAAGCAAACACCCATCCAGAAACGAAAGACGGAGCGGCGCAGCGGAGCACCTGCCCTTCTCACCTAAGCTGGATTAAAACTAACAGAATATATTCAAACGACAGCTGGCCACGCAGGCGAACTCTAGCTCAGAATCAAGCAATCACCGTCTACCAGCAAAAACTCAAAACAAAACCACAAAAACCCACACCACAAACCACCAAACACCCACCCAGGAGCCGGACTGGCGAGAACACTGCTTCACTGTTGAATTCATAACGAATAGCCGGGTGCAGTGGTACCCGGGAGAGGTGCAAGAACACAGCCTTCACCAGCTACCTGCTGAACGGAAAGAGTAGAGCAATGCCTTCTACTCGCCAAACACAGAGAGGGATGTGAATACTCTACACCCACGTTACTAGCAGAGGGAGGCGGGAGCGAGACCAACTGCCTTCACCTAGTTGGAATAATAAGAGAAGCTAAACAGGGCAGTTTAGCCAGGCGGCTGCTACTAACGAATCAAGCAGCACGCTACCAGGAGCCGGGGGCGAAAAACACTGCCTCACTGGATGAGTTAAACAATGAAATGCTCAACAGCACAGTCAGATGTTATAGCCAAAGCGGCCGCTTCTGCCTTCACCCAGCTGAAGTTTAAATAAAGAAGCTTTAACAAAACATGCAAAGATGTTAGCCAAGCGGCTGCTGCTAACAATCAAGCAGATCCAAGTCAAATAACACAAATGTTCTAAGACCAAGATAACAGCCTTCTAAAAAAGAGAAACAGCACAGAGCCGTAGTTACAGCAGTAACCTTATGGCCAATGCTTCATGGGCAAGAACCATATTACAGTAAGTAACTATGACCAGTAACTTACACGGTTAGACCGTAGTTACAGTAGTAAGACTGTGGCCAGTACTTACACGGCTTAGATCCGTAGTTACAGAAAGTAACGGTAACTGTGCCCGTGCTTAAAAGTGTCCGCCAAACGGCTTGCACACTAGATAATATAATATTGGGTAGGATGAAATCCTCTTTAATAGCAGCCACACATTGCAGAGCACACAGCACAACCGGGAAGATTGTTCTCTGCATCTACGCATCGTTAGTGCTAGGAGTCTAGTACTAGGGCCGTAAAATACACAATAAGGCTCACTGCAAATCAAACCATATGTTGACCGGGAGCGGAGCGAGAGCACTGCCCTCACGGCTGAGTTAAAATAATCAAGCTTAACAGTATATGTTAAAGGGTTATATTTTTTTTTAAATATCATTTTATATTTTTTTTATATTTGTTTTTGTTTTTCATTGTTAACAAAATTTAAGTTAAGTAAAAAAGTGTCACCTCCATATTTGTATGCATCCATATTTAGAAAAATGAACCTCACTATACAAATGTCCACCGTCAGTAATGAGAACAGGCCTCCTGCATGAACCGACCGACCTCCAACCAACAAACAACTTCAGCAGGTGAAGAACGTCATGGTGCCGCACTCACCCACTCCTCCTTCCGTTCAGTTGCACCACTTTAAATTACAGGACCGACTTCAGCGTCGTCGTACGGGAAACTGCCCAGTGACTCGACTTTTATTTTTACTTTTTAATCTTTTTCGTGGTCACTGGGGTGCAAGGTAGGCGAGCATGCAGAAACCTTTGATGCGGCCTCTCACTCTGATTGGCTAATTCATTATATTTGCGCTTATGTAAAGAGGGAGCAGGTTTTTTTTGTTTTTTCTCTAGAGTCGGTGTTGTTATTTCAATATGCAAGAAGGAAGTGTGTGTGTCTGAGTCCTACGCATGGACAGGGTCAGGCCCGAGAATGTAGATCGGGTTTCCCGCCCTCAACAGAGGGCTTCCAGGAAAAAGCCTCAAAACTCCTCCCCCCTCTGGGTCTGGATGTTTGTTGCCGCAACACACTTCTACAACATGGCTGCCGGTCAGAGGGATCCTCAACTGTTATGTACTCAGACATAACAGAAGATGACAAATAAAATTGAGGAGAGCCGGGAAGGGGGGGGGGGCGTTCAGGTCAGTAGCTGTACGTGTCCTTCTCTCGTCCACTCCTCTCCAGGTACTCCCTTTTCGATCAGATGTCGATGCATTCTTGATGACTGGATCTGGGTTTGAATCGAGACGACAAGCTGATTCAGGACTTCAGCAGAAGCTGCTGGTTGCTTCCAGGACCTTCCTCATCTTCATGATCCGCATATGCCTGCCTGATGAGAAGCTTCCGGTCCTCTTCAATGTTCTGTGGGTCGCTCCTGCCCTGTTTCTGCTCCGTCTTCATCGGTACTTGTGTTCACCCTCAGAGCTTTTTGATGCCATTCTCTCAGCGCCTAATGAAGGGAATGCATGAAGAATCTGTTGGCGAGTCCGAGTTAGACTTTGTCGTTCCTTTGACATGGCAGCTTTGTCAATAAAAGAAACCCTCGATGTTCCTGATCTCCTTCCTCGTCCGTGGGTGGAACTTTGTGTCCTACGACACCCCGGGGATGATGTATAGCCGAACCACCTGGCCTGTGATCTTCTGCTCGAGGAACACGTCTTTGGAAATACGATTCTTTATGTCGAAGCCAGTCTCCTCCAGCACTTCTCGCACGGCACAGTCGTGAGGAGCTTCATCCTCATTAACTTTCCCCTTTGGAAAGCCTCAGCCGGACTTAGCGAGGTATCCCTGAACCAGCAGAGCATTTTCTAGAGATTCATCCAGAATGATGGCTCCAAAAGTAGGCACTCTTGTACTCCTTCTACTGCTCCAGGATCTTCTGGACGTCTTCTCCATTAGGAAGCAGGAACGGACAGTGATGGAACACTGCTTTGGCGAAGTCTCTGATCCCACAGTGAGGAGCTCCGGGAGTGTTCTGCGTGCAGAAGTCCAGATAGAACCAGTGGGCGAGCTCTATCTGGAAACACACCCAGATAGCGTTGTTCCTCTCCTCGCTGGGGATGTGCAGGATGAAGCGGCTACAGAGGTCCTCCAGCATTCCGGTCGGGATCTCCACTCTTTTTGTTTCCATGTTGGAGGAAAGCATTGCGATATCTCAGCGCAAACAGGCGCTACAGCCTTAAGAACAGCAGCTCCATCTGCACGTGCACCTCAGGTGAGCCCCAGACCAACATTAGATCAGACCAAATCACCTAGACATTTAAAAAATAAGTGTTCTTGCTCCTCCACCGAGAACTGGAGGGATTCTGCTGCGCCAAGCGGCTGCTGCTAACAATCAAGCGACTAAGTCAAAACACAAATGTTAAGACCAGATAATTAGCTTCTATGGAATAGAACAGCCCGCATAGAACCAGTGCTTACATGGCCTAGGACCGTAGTTACAGTAGTAACTATGGCCAGTACTTACCTTACTCTCTGCATCTAAACAAAAAACGGGCAAAATATGGCACCCTGGGCTTTCCATACTAAATTGAACGAGAGACGCAGCTAAAGCTGGGACTCAAATGCTAATGATAGCCACAAGCAGAACTTTCAAAAGAGCATAATAAGGGCAACTTTATGGGAGAGGAAGCGGGAACACTCTCGTCACCAGAAAGTCTAAGCCAAACAATAAATAAGACAGCAATCAGGACAACTTAGCTGGGAGAGGGTGCAGGGACACAGCCACCACCAGCAACAAGTTGACACAAACCTGTCCGTCGAGGCTCTGCACAGCTGGCCACAGCTCCTGGAGGACGTGTTAACAACCCGTAGCTCCGACTGTCAGTCCGAAAATGCACGCGGCCAGCTGCTTGCAGAGAAATCCCTCAGATCAAACGTTCAAACCTGAACGCTGTAGGCTACAAGAATGTAGCCGCGGTACTCTCGCACAGCGAGAAGATGAAAAGGAATCGATCTGCTAATGACGCCGGCCTATGTAGCCGTTGTCACGTGGGTCAGAGGTGATTTTGTTGTTATTAGGTACTCGAACTGCGCATGCGTGTGATGGATATATACAGTGCTAAAGCACCGCCTCTGGCGGTCAGTAGGACGAAATAGAACTAGATAAGGCCAAGCTGGCTTGGGTTAACGAGTTGATAACCAGCGTCGTACTGTAGGACCGTTTAGCGAGAGCGCATTTGTTTTGGATTAGGTAAACCGGGTAACTCAAACATATCCAGGTTATGTTGAACCGGCTTCGTCGTACAGGCCTCAGGTTTCATTGTGATGTCAACAAGTGCCAGAATAGAAAAGTTTCAATAGAAAACGCCGCTTTACATTTTTTTAACAGTGAGTACACTTCAATATATGTTTATCGCAAGTCATAAAAATAGAGATAAGATAAAGATACTTTAATGTCATTGTACAAACATACAACAAATGAAATATTGTTATTTTGATATTCAACGTCATTATCATTTTCGGAATATTGTGCAGCCTTAGTTAAAGATGTTTTTTTCACACGCTGATGTTAACTTTCTTACCAGGCAGAAGAACAAGCGGACAACAATAAAGGTTTGTTTTCTTTATCACTTTGTACATATTGATGTTTGTTGTGGAAAATTTTTCCCTGCAGTCACATAGTAGGAGATCATCAATATTTATCTTTTTATTTGTATTCCAGAGCACTTGGAAACTGATGGAAGGACTGTCATCACTGTCATATGAACAAAAATCAATGTTGGTGTTTATATTGTACTTGAAGGAGCTGATTATGGTCATTATTTGAGCTGAGAAACCCACTCAGGACCTACTGTAACATTTTGAAAAGCTTCAAGGATCTCAAAGTAAAGTTGTGTTTTTCCATTCCGAAGAGCTGTGTTTGTAGCCCCGCCTTCATGAGAGGGCTTCAGTCAATCAAGGGTAATTTGGAAAACAAATCATTTGTCATTTGTGACGTTTGATGACAGATTTTTTGTACGAACACACAAATGCAAATATTAACGGTAAGCAGTCGGCTGTACTGCACCTGAGACCTTATATACCTCATGTCCGTGCTGACACATCAGGAGAGGTTTTTTATTATTTGTGATAGAGCAGGTTTTGCCCCTCAGGGAAAGAACTGTAGAGTGTTCCGATTCCCAATGTGTTCCTCAGGCCAGCCCCAGATCTCTTCATAAATATGTTGGGAAATGTTTGATTTCTCCACGCTTCACAAAATCATCTCTTCCTCCGACAGTGGCACACAGTGTTTCCTGTCAAAATGTCCCTCTGTGTCGTCGCAGGCATCACTGCACGCTATTCTGTAAATAGTGTTTATAGGTCATTTTGTAGGTGAATATTTTAATAATAAAAATGTTTAAATGTCTTTTATGGTTTCTTTTTGCATTGTGGATACATCTCAGAATGTACACATGGTCTTACAATCAATCAATGAAACTTTATTTGTACAGCACCTTTGAAACAGGTGAGCGCGGCTCAGAGCTGGTGACTGACGAGCCCCAAGAAAACAACAGAAAAAATGTTTCAACTATTTGAGTCAAGTGCACACTAGACAATGAAAATGTAGTCAAATTGATTAAATATTATACAATAATAATAATAATTATTAATAATATAATTGAATACAATATACAACAACAACTTAAATACAATATAGTAAATAATGCAGAAAATACATAAATCAAAAGCTTGCCTGAATAGACATTCATCAAGTATTTGAGATCAATACATGCTTACAATAGAAATGATGAAATATAAAAGAAAAAAGGATTTACAAGCTACAATAACAGTAATATAGGTGAAAATAGCTTGGAATAAAACTGTATTAATAAAATAATAGAACAGAATCAAATTGTTCAGCAATACAATAAAGGTACAATACAGGTACAATACAATAAAGGTACAATAAAGAAAGTGAATAAACAATTTAATAAAAATGTCAATACACCATTCTTAATCAAGGACCCTGCTGCACACGTTTTACACTTGGAGCTCAGAGAATCCCAGCTGAAAGCTGACTCAGCAGGTTTAGTGCGCTTTGGAACAACTCCCAGCCTGGAGCCGAGGAAGAGTCACACACTGTCAGGCTGTGAGACTCTGCAGGAGCATTACAGAAACCTTTAGAAACTCAAGGGCTTTAGGACAGTGTTGCTGTTTTCTCTCCCTGCGGTGACTGACATCATCAACCACTTCCTAACTCTCATAATTGTAATGATTAGAAAAATAACAACAGTTTATCAAAAAGGGGGAAGCAAGTGCTGTTACACTTAACTCTCAAATTCTCTTTTTCCCATTGAACTCTTTTTCTTCTCCACTGATTTCTACTTATTGCTGCATTGACCTTACTTTTAGATTCATGTCTGTACCACTTTGTACATATGTTTTGAAAATGCTATATGAATAAAATATTTTATTCTTTTTTGTATTATTAATATTATTACTTTCAGAGGTTGCAGCAGGCTCACAGGTAGAGCTCCCTAAGATTGACGTCAAACATGGTACACAGTAATAAACACGGACTGGCCAAAGATCAACTCCATCTGTAACTGGTGAAGCGTGGATCATGGAAGAAACACACGGTGGGCAGATATGTGAAAAATACTTCACCATCTTGATCAGAACAGAGCCACTGATAACAACTCGCCCACAGTGACAAATACATAGCTTTTACCATCACCAGACGATCTGACGGGGACCATTCATGAACAGCTCGGTGAATCACAATCAGAATTCCTTTACAATTTACAGTGTTACAGCAGAAGTGGCATAGCAGGTACAAAATGCAAGCAATAATAAAGAGTGAGCTTACTTTTTAAATATGGAGAAGAAATGTTTTTACATAAAAGTGATTATTGCACAGTAGCTACAATTACAAAACAAGTTGAGCAGAAGAAGTGTTTATATTGCATAAGGGAAATGACACACAAGAAAAACATATAGAACCTCTTGCGTAAGAATAATGTAAATCCCCTAGTTGAGTTCAATAGAGCACTGATGGTGATTTTGAGGCTTCTGGTTACAATACTTGTGTTTTTTAAACGATCTGTCCTTTATACCGAAGTTAAATAGAACTGTATATGCCAGAACTACTGCAAAACTAATATTACTCATTGTGGTGCAGTCTAAATTTCAATGTTGTTTGTGTATTCTCCAGACTATTAAGCTTTTCAACGGTCCAGCTTGCATGGTGTGTATTTTAGTTTTATTTGCTTTGTGGCTACATGGAACAACATTTGGGGTTAAAAGTTTTTGTTTACTTGTCAAAAAGGCAATTTTACACCCATGAACATATAAGGGCGGTCCAGAGGCCCCCCGACCTCCCAGCGTTCACTGCACTGAAGGGCCAAGACGATTGAAGACCCCTGCCCTGACCCATGGACCGACACAAACCCAAAGCATGCAGAATGATGCGTTTAACTGCATCTCCCTCTGAAGCTGATGTTGGACTAGTGTTGGTTCCTTCAAAAAACCTCAAAATGTCGTAGTTTTAAACTTTCTGACTTCACATTAGAGATATAGTCAAGACATTAAATATGTATATTGGAACTGGAATCCCATTTAATGAATGTAATGCATAGAGTGTATTTATCCTAAACGATTGAATGGGATAAGGCACTCTTGCTGATGCAAATCCACAAGTGACAACTAAGTAAAAGGTAACAATCGAAACAAACATGTTAGGAAACAATTCCACTGTTTCAATTCGTTGACTAGGCTACTTAATGTAACCAATGTAACTTTGTTTGGTTTGTTAGTTTGTAGAAATATGTCCGACAGCCCCTGAAGGCAGCATTCCACTTCTCTAGCCAGAGCAGAGTCCCCCCCCCTGCCCCGAGTGAAGGAAAAAGCAACGGGAGGAAAGACCATGGAGGGAGCTGGGAGTGTTAGCTAATTTGAGAAACTTTTTCCTTCTTAAGTTTTCTGCGAAAATCAAAGCGCCTCAATGTGGCGACTTCGGGTGTGTATTTATGTTCTGGGAAAACGTCGTAAACCTTAACATTCAAACATACACCGACATTCTGGCCGCGGACTGTTAGCACAACCCGACCAAAGTTAGCCTGTCTCGGCTAACTTAGCCTGTCTCAGCTAATTTAGCCTATCTCAGCTAGCAGGAGAGGACAAAAAGGCGAGTGGAAACAGAGCGAGCTGAAAGTGGCGCCGAGGCGTCAGGGATCCAGTAATGCTGCGGCTCGGGATTAACTTCAGATACGGATGAAAAGCAGATAAGCCGAGAACTACTGCGAGCCGGAC